CTCCTTCACTGACCTTGGTGTCTGCAGAGTTGCTTCTCTCACATCGTCTCAGTCCTCTCTCCCACTGCAATTGCTCTTGCGCAGCAACTTTTTTCCCCTTCTTAACTATGTTATCCCAGAGGCGCTACCACCATCGCTAATGGGCTCAGCCTTGGCCAGTGATGGGCCCATCTTGGAGCCGTCTGGCATTGGCTCTGTCGGACATGGGAGAAGCTTCTGGCAGCTTCTCACAGAAGCCACCCCTGCAGCCCCCCAGCTACCAAAACCTTGCCACACAAACCCAATACAGTAAGTCAGTGTAAGATTTTTCAAAACTGTTGTTGTTAGACAGCGTATGTGATGTAGGGGCACAGTTAACATCACTGAACGGCAGCTCCTAGGTGTCTCTTGATGCACATCCAACTGTCTTCTTCGTTTTTCAATTCTTGCATTTTAAAATTATGAATTCTTTATTATGTTGAAGATTCTTTGTTTAAGAATGTCAGGTAATTGCAAAGACTGTAATTAAATAGATGAGATAATTATAGAAGTCATCGTTAGAAAAGGGTATAGTAAAGACTGCAGGAGGGTTTCGTTTTCAACTCCCATTTTTCAACTCAGTTTCTTGTACTCTTAATTTTTTATGCAGTCTCCTCTTGGGGTGATGTTTTTCTACTGAATTTTTATCTGACAAGTAGAAGTAATCAAGTTAGTGATGATTTTTCAGTTACAAAAGATTTGATGAAATCTCATTGTAAATAAATAAATGCAAATAATGGTTTTACATGCTGTAATAAGCATTACTTTATTAACATACATCAGTTTTTATTTTTTTTTTCTTACAACAGTGACCAAAGCTATAAGAAAATGAAATTTGATGTTTTACTCCGAAGGCTTTTTTCTTCACTTAATGACCTTGAGTCCCACAGTACGATAGACCTTGCAATTTTCAATCTTATCTGTCATATCTGCAAATGTTATTCATTGATTAATTAATATGAATATTGACAAAGCTTTTTTTGTGTCCTGAAACCTTTTACTGTTATCAACTTATGATAATGTGTTACAGAAAGAAGGTTTGACTTAGGTTTTTTTTTCTTTGACTTTTACAACAAGTTATCTTTATGTCTCTTTTCCTCTGAAGCTCTTCAGACAGGAATTGTTTTTGCCTTTGTGTCTCATGTAATGTGGAGATCATAGACTTTATCATATAAAGAAATCAAATATGTAAAAGTTGAGAAAAACTGTGATTAATACTTCAGAAGGTAACTTGTGGTTTTACATACCGACATTTTGGCAGGTATGCTTTAGCTCTCAAATTCATTGGTCTCTCAGATGTCCATTATCTTCTGCCTTTGTCAGCCAGACTTACTTCATAGGATTCACAAAGTCACCAGTCACTTGCAGCCTTTCAAACCCCAGCATTTGTAGTCTGCTGAGATAAGACTTTTGCTTTAAAATCAGTCTTCATGAAAACTCATTCTTTTATCTGTTTTTTTGTTTATAGTTTGCACTTGTGTAGTCCACAAGAGATGCCATGAACTTATAATAACGAAGTGTGCTGGCTTAAAAAAACAGGAAACTCACGATGAGGTAAATATTTATAAAATAAATTTTCTAGATAAAACTCAGTCTTTCATCTGTTCAAAATAGTGTCATCTCCTCTGTTTAATCAAAAAATGTTACAGACTTTTTTGTGCCCTTCTGGTCGTCTTGTGATGTGACATTTACTTTGGAATGACAGATTACCATAGCAGTTTCATTTGCATGGGAATTATTACACAGCAATCTATTTCTCATTAGTAAACTTTTTACAACATCCGAATGCTTAAAGTCTCAGTGAGCTGCTTCCAATCCTTTTCACTTTTAACATTCTCCATTTCTGAGTTAATGCAAGTTTTGTCATTTTAATTCAAAAGATTTTTGCATTTTGCAAAAAGATTTTTTGTATTTTGTGTGGCGGAGTCATTAGCAGCTGAAAGGATAGATTTTGTATATTAATGGAATTATCACAATATGTACTTTATGGCCTCAGTTGTAGCCAGTGAATGTTTTATTTTATACAGAAGTTTTTTGTTTGTCTTTTTTCTTAACGGAAAAGCTCATGAATGCTCACTGTCCTGTTCTGTTTTGTGCAACAGCAAGAGCCTACTATCTTTCGCCATAGGATTAGGCGAGGTAGTCTGTGGGTGATCCCAGTTCCTTGACCATGCAGAAAAAGTAGATTTCTTAGTTTTATTTGTTAAAAACCTACCTTGTATGCTTGAAAAAGCCTGGTTCTAAATTACAAGTCAGAGTTGTGTGTAACGATGGTTTTAAACCACTCTTCCAACTTTGATAGGAATTTCACGGAGGCACTAACTAATCTCATTCTTCCTGTGCAGTTCACTAGCATTTTTCATGCTGGAAGCATTCTTTAATATCTGGTTGACAACCAGTGTTTTACGTCTGAAATTAGATTGCTTGCATAGGATTGTGATAAAGGACTGTGTTTAGCTAGTGCTGTTTTTTGCATAATACACACAGGAAGATACAAAATCTTGCATAGATTTATATTCCCAGGCTCCAGGCCGGTGGAGACTTGTATGCTTTGCTGATATAATCCTCTTATTGTTTAGAGGGGGTACTATACCACTGGAGAGAAGCCAGAGGTGATAGGAAAGGGAAGGAAAAACATCAAAATATATCTCTTGCTATACAGTGGCCACTATAAAAACTTATCAGTGACATCCTTCAATTAGTAAATAATCATACCTTGGAATCCCTGAACACAACAAATTATCACTGTAATTTTCATAATCTAAAGAGTGGGATGTGAAAAGGTAAAGGGTTTGTGATATATTTCTGTTTCTTTGTCCTGTATTAGTTCGGCCTCCTGATCCTAAAACAATTGGAAGTGACTTCCTTGCCTTCCACATTAAGAGATCTTTCCTGATAGCTATATATTTGTTGTTCCCAGAAGTACTAGGACTTTAGTCTTTATCTCTTGGACAACAGCAGCCTTTCCCCCTCTTTTCCCAAATAAAGTAGTGAGAACTCTGGAGCCGGAGTATATCTAACACAAAGATCATCATCTGAGCACAAACCTATTTCATCTTGTTTGAATTCTGTGTGGTTTCAAAACCTAACAGGGCCTCAGCATACACTTACTATAAAGAAATTAATTAGAATGAAATATGCTGTGCTCTTCTTTTTCAGCAAGTGGGATCCCAGCGTTTCAGTGTCAACATGCCTCACAAGTTCAGCATTCACAATTACAAAGTGCCCACCTTCTGTGACCACTGTGGTTCATTGCTCTGGGGTCTTTTGAGACAAGGTTTACAATGCAAAGGTAAGGATTACAGCTTCAGAGCTTTTCTTTTTCTTTGTGAGTGCAGTAGACTTGGAAAGACTTGAAGTTGTTCTGTCTTTACCAGCATGTACAGAAATGAACAGAAAGTAAAGAGTGGACTGCTGTAGGGATTGCCATCGTGTTCAGAGAATGGTCCTTTGCCCTGTCTGCACCACCAGTCAGTAACAGATGCAGAGGACAGAGGTGCCTATATTGCCACACAGGAAATTAGAAATTGACAGAAAATTAGGAGCATGAGAATTTACATCCTTTCAGCTTATATGCCTTTTACGTTTTCAAGTTTGTGGAGATGCTTGTTAAACTTTTTAAACATCGTTGTTCCAGCTACTTTTCCGTGTAATACTGTCTTCAAAAATTACTATTATGTATTGGCTAGGCTAGGCAGAATCAGTTCTGTGCGCCTGTATCCAGAACGAGGTATTCTGGTATCCAGCTAAGTCATCCTTTGCGATGGTCTGCCTAGCCCCTCTATTCTGGAAAGCAGGGGATTCATTATATTCTGCAGCTTAAGGACTGTGTACTCTGTACAGTAACTGCATATGAAGTTACTGCTGGAAGGTGCATTTGTGTTGTTTTAGCTGACTAACAGAAATGGTTGGTTCCATATCTCCTTGTTTCAAGCAGATCTATATATTCTAAAAGGGGATGAAAACAGTACAAACGCTTGCAAAGGAAAGCAATATTTTAGAAGTAGTGAATAAAATACCTCAATTAGTGGGTTGATGGGAATGATGGGAATGATTTCATGAAGGCTGTCACATTCTTAGAGAGTGGTACATAATGGAATTGCAAGTATTCTCATTTTGTTACGCCTTTATGAATGGGTAGGTCCATCTTCATAAATACAAAAATCATGTTACATGCACTTTTCAACAACAGAAACGTGGAGTCACATATATAGGTATAAACGTGTAATCTATTCAGTGTATCCTGTGCGGTATGTAAGATGAGACATAGCTATAGGTGAAGGTCAGACCTAATGTTTCATATCACAAATTGCTGAGCAGCAAGGGAAGGAAGAAATTTACTTCATGGCACAGTGATAAACAGTGAGAGCGTTCTGAAGTTCAAGCCTTCTATTGTGATTGTAGCTAGTGAACAACGATGAATTGTTAGACTCTAAATACTGTTACTTTACTACTATTAAAGATTTTGTTCAAATGCTATCTAAATTATAGTGGAGATGTGTTCAAAGATTTTTTAATTAAAACTCTTTTGGTTTTTTTTGTCTTTCAATTTTAGAGCTATAGTATCTCTCCACTTAATCTGTGAATGTATTAGTTCACTTTCATAGTCTCTCTGAAGTACTGTAGTGGTTCATTTCCTCTTAACTGTAGAAAATAATGTAACTTCTCATATGTATGCATTTACTGTGTGGCAGATGCATAGAAACAGTAGTTCAGAGAGCCTATGTTGTTTTCTCCAGGTTCATAAACTAGTGCCTGTAAAAATGCAGTCTCAAACTCACCTGAGCTGGAAATGATATTTTCTCCGTGCCTTGTTTTCCCTATTAACAAGTGCCGAAGACTGCTCCCTTCTTCAGAGATGTACTTGCTTGCCTAGTATGGTTATTAACACCATGAAAAGTGTATTCCAAAGGTTTATTCTTCTTCTGTTTTTTCCCTGCTTATTCCCGTGCTTCTTTTTACAAAATATGCTCATAAAGTCGTACTGTACAAAATTGTCCAGTTTGCTTTATTTCAAGCAGTTCAGTTCTTCAGTGTCTGCTGCTAAGATCAGACATTTTACTTGCCGCTGAGCTTTCATCACTGAATATACCTGCACTGAAAGTACTGTGTGTAGCAATTTCTTTTTGTTCTTCTTGTGAGCTGAAACATACTTGAGAAGGAGAAGCACCTGCTACTCGCTTTCTGAAGCGCACGGTTACTACTGCAGATACAGGGCCTGTGTATGGTCTCAGAGGCAAATGTGGTTTGTTTCTTTAGGGCTTATATGGTGAAAGCATTATTGATGAGCAATATAATGAAAGGCAGCTCTATAAATGCATACTTTTTAATTATTTTTCTCTATAAATTAATGAAGTGAATAATTGAATGCTAATCTAGTATTTAATAACACATGCAGTTTTGCTTTCTTTGTGCCTTGCTCCACGAGAGGGCAGTGAAGTCTAAGATAAAATGTCCCGTGCTCCTAACAAATCCACGCTGTGCTATTTTCAGTGGAGCTGGGTTCCATGTATATGTTCCTACAACCTGGAAGCAATGTAACCTTTTTTTCCTCTTACTAGTATGCTAGTTTCAGGAGGTGGTATTTAAGAGAAAGAGCTTAGTAAACGGGTTGCTCTCTGAAGAAAGAGAGTGTCTAACAGTGCCAAAGACTTCTACTGAAACTTAAAACACTATTGGTTTTATGCCTGCCTGCATTAGGAGTTAATCTGCTTCAGTAAAAGAGAGTAAGAAGCAATAATACATGAGGAACTAATGTTGTGCTCTCAGTATGAGAACAGAAGTGGACTGCTAAAATCCAAGCTCTGCAGGACTTTCTTCTAATTCAAATTCTATTTAAAATTTATGGGATCATTGGGTATTTTAATTTGTTCCTGTGTCTGTTCTGGGTACTGTATGAAAACACTGTTCAACATTGTCTTAGCAGAAGAATGATATCCAGGTTAATAATTTTATATTAGCATTGAAGTGTCACTGCAAATCCAGCTAAGTAATTTTCTACTGAAATTATACTTGTTTGAACAAGCTCTTGGTAGGTCCAGTAAGGTCTTATTTAAATAGGACAAATGCATGCCAAGGTAGTATTTAATTTACTCTATTACTTTACGTTTCATTGCAGTTTGCAAGATGAATGTACATCGACGCTGTGAAACAAATGTGGCACCAAACTGTGGAGTGGATGCTAGAGGCATAGCTAAAGTTCTTGCAGATCTTGGAGTCACTCCAGATAAGATCACTAATAGCGGGCAGAGGAGGAAAAAGGTACCTTTACTATGTAGTGTCACATAACAAATGACTTAAGTACAACTGTATTGTAACTTTACTAGTTGGGGTTCAATCCCACTTACTTGGCTTGCACAAGATTTTTTTTTAAGTCACTAGAGAACTCAGACTTTGGCTTCTGATTTGTAAGTGCAAATCATCTATTCTGAATTTTTAGATTAAATTTATTTTGACCTTCTACAGTTTTGCAAACCTAGAGTCTGTATAGAGTCTGGAAGGATTTCCCGTTATTAATTTTGAGGAAGGAGATTTGACAGAGAGACGTCTGACACAACAGTTCATAAAAGCATAAATGTCTCTTTGGCTTAGAATTGGAATCAGATAATTGATTGATTAACAACTGATTGATTCCATAACATTGTAAATGCTGATAAATGAGCAGTGTGCTTGAAGAGGAGCTGTTTGCCAGATGTCGGTTCCAGTATTATCACCACTATTATAGAAGGAACGTGGCTCTTCTAGAAATAAGTAGCATAGGTCACCCCAAGTACATCCAAAGCTGATGGAGTTATTCTGGATTGATAATATGTATCCTGGATCAGAATTTGGCCACACTTTCTATCTCTGTTTGTATGATTGTGACAACAGACCCATTGCTCTCACTTACAAAAATACGCAATTTTTACCATGATTTCTTGAAACATTGATATTTGGTTCTGTTCATTTTCCTGAGCATTGCACATTTGGATCCCATGTACACTATTTCAAAATGTTACAGAAACATAGAAAAGTCAGGAATAAATGCATTTATCTGCATTTCCTGGGAAAAGATGTTGTCATGTTGTAACTGCAGGAGTTAGTTTGCAGTGCTTGCTGGTACTTGTTACAGTTAAATGTATTTACCAGATAGGTTTCTACACAGTCTCATGGTGGCTATACTAAACTTTCCCACTCACTGGGTAAGCTTATTACGTTTATTTCATCCGAAGAACCTCTTTTTCTTTAAATTGCCGGTTCTTTCTCTGTTTAGATTATGGTCTTCATTTGATTTGACACCCTCTATTGTGTAGTTGAGGTCCTGCCAGTGACAGTCTATATGGGTAGAACATCTTCACTTTCCTTCATACTTCTACTTGTGAATTAATACTCTTAAATTAAATTTCCTGTTGACACGGGAGAATCTCATAGCTGAGTACCCCTTTTGGAATTGTTCTTAGCTAATTGCAGGCGCAGAGACTCAACAACCAGTTCCTGGAAGCGCATCATCAGAAGAAGATAGGTCAAAGTCAGCACCGACTTCTCCATGTGATCAAGGTCGAACATCTCCTTTGATTTTCCAGTATATATTGTCACATATTTTCCTTCTTTATGAGGAGTAAAAATGCTATCCGCCCCACCCTCTGTAGAACCAAATCAATGAAGTAACTACCACCAGAAAATGAAGCACGCACTTAGGAATTATAAAAACTTTTTTAAAACACCCGCTTCTCATTTTGTTGAAATCTGTGAAATTAAGTGGCTTTTAAGGGGAAAATTATAAAACAGTCATCTTAAAATATGAAGTTTAGTAGATGAGTCCTTGCCTAACCAAATACCGTTATGTAAGGAGGTCATATATTCTAAGATAAGAGTGAGAACATTTTAAATAGTACCATAGAACTTGAGCATGCTTTTATCTGTCTGAAAAGCCTCTGTTAGTCAGTTTTTGAGATAAAATTACCTGTGTGCAATTCCGTGTTGAACATTTGTGATAATAAAAACTTCTATCCAGTTAGGCTATGCTAGCTTGTCTGTATGGTCTCTAGAGGCTTTGTAAAACCATGTTTCATTTCAGTGATTTTTTTTTCATGTATAGTTTTGGAGACAAGTATTTTAATCTTCATTGATATGACCTGATTTTATTGAGCTTAACAGCCTGATTGACAGAATGTGTATGTCAGCAGCACTTTTTGAGTCTGATCTGATTGTTGTTTTCAAAATTCAGAATTCTAGGAGTTATCTTACCTACCATCACATGTGTGAACTGATGAATGAAAAATCTTCACACCAAGACATAGGAAGACGGATACTTTTGTGTCAAATTCTTTGAAAAGTATTTACAGTTGAGAAGTTTCTCAGTGTTATTTTTAGGGAATAGACTTCCAAAGCTCCATGGTAATAAGTACTGTAAAACTCTGAGTCCAGAACTGCTTTAAATTTGCCAATGTTTTGGTTTCACAGACAGTATTTTGAGTGAATAATATTTTTTTAAATAGCTGATGTTTTGCTTCAAATAAGAACAAAGCATTTATCTCAATGCTCTCTTAAATTTCACTTCTGTAGTTGTCCACTAAAGTTGTTCCTTCCAAGGCCATCAGAGAGAAGTACTATGCAAGAGCTTGAGGCAGACCCCAAGGTCCGTTAGTCACAGGGAGTCACTGTGACTAACATGGAGAAACCTTCAGAACCATTTAGCAGATCTGCACTATAGCTGCTTGAAGCAGCACTAGGAGATGGTCAAATACTTTATTGGCGGGTGTCTGATAACAGCTGGAGCTGAGTAAGATGCTCCATTCATGTTGACTTCAAGGGCCAACTGTCCTTTGAACTTTTGAAGATACAGGTCTAAAATACTTAAGCAGGAAGATGAGTAAGGGCTGCAGGAAGATAGAGGTATTCAAAACAAAGTACTTCTCTGTGGTACAGGAACACCCAAAATCACTAAAGCAACTATTTGGCCACTATTCTGACTTATCTTTCAAGTTTGGATATGTCATTCTCTCAGGTTAATTTTAAAAGGCCACCCTTCCTGTTAGAACAGGGTTTTGTCTCGTTTAAGGTGGAGAAGCAGTTTGCTAAATATGTATTATTAACCACAGAATGCTCTACACAGCATTCAGGGATGATGAATGTCCCTTCCTAAAACTGATACAGACTAACACAGGCTGTTTTTCTGGTTGTTGGTTAAAATGACCACTTTTCTCATATTTCCACAGAAATCAAAGAGCTGGAAAACAACATTAGGAAAGCATTATCATTCGACAATCGGGGAGAAGAACACAGAGCAACAGCTACAACGTCAGCAGACAACCAGCTCAACAAACCTGGGGAGAATGGTGAAAATGGGGAGGTCAAACAGGCCCAGACCAAGCGAATAGGCCTTGAAGAGTTCAACTTCATAAAAGTATTAGGGAAAGGCAGCTTTGGCAAGGTGGGTGACTTTTGGTTGGTTGGTTGGATGGTTTTCCCTGGTGTGCAGGCTTTTTTTTTGATTGTACGGCTTTGAAAGTATTCATAATGACATTCAGAAAGTGCTTCCACCTCAGGGGTTTCCTTCCATTCTTTACCCATTGGGTAAAGCAGCTTCTACCCCACAGATCAGGAATATCAGCCTCCTGATCAGCTGGCATTTTCTGTGCTTTAACTCACTTCGTTAGCTAGGATCAAGCCTTTTGAAACAAAATGTCAATGTTTCACTGTTTTAGGATATTGGTAATGAAGATATGCATACAGTTACATACATAAAGTTCACAAGATAGTTAATTGTGGTCAAGCAGGAAAAATCTGCCCAGGAGTAATGCTGTGGAGTTCTGAGTTCATTACCTTTCTAGATAATACCCAGTTCAAGTTTGTTTATTTCACAGAACAATTTATATGCTTATTTTTCCTCAGTGGGTGTGTTCAGTGCTGGAGGAAGGAGACCTCGAGCATTTCCACTCAGATACAACGAGTGCAAGAGGCTTAGGTAGCTGCCCAAAATACCGTGTATGAGGCAAAGATGTAACTCACCAGATACCTTCGATAGCAGGGGATTGATGGGGGTGGAAAAGACCTTGCTCTGTTTACAGGGCTTACAGATTTTCTTTTCACAGTGCTGGGCACCGTGGAATCAAAGAGGAGGACTGAAATGCGAATCTGTTTCACAAGTACACTCTTCCTTCCTTGATATATGGGATGCAGAGGGGCAGGACTGAGGCAGTTCTTTTGTCTCCCTGTTTTCTAATCTCTGCTCTGAAGATTACTCTGGCTCCGAGCCAGAACTGACCTTAAACAGAGCATAGGACTCCAACCTTGAACAATAGTAGTAGTTAAAACCAACAACTTTAAAGTGGCCAGAATGGTATGTGAGATAGTATACTAAGTTCATCACACACAAATCTGACTACCAGAAGTGGGAGATAAAAGTGGGAAATAAATTCTGTTCTATATCAACTTCCTTCCTTTTTCAGTTTTTGAGATCTCATTAATAGGCACTCATTAAGATATTTAAATGAAGAGATAAAAATTTTTTATCTTCTGCATTCTCAACTAACAAAATAGATATTGTCTATGTAACCGCCTTTATATTTCCAGTGCAGTCAAACTCATATGTAACCCTGCATTTATGGTATCTCTTGTTCATATGTAAACAGAATTTCTGTTTGTTTTAGGTAATGTTAGCTGAACTAAAAGGAAAAGATGAAGTATATGCAGTGAAAGTCTTGAAGAAAGATGTCATACTTCAAGATGACGATGTAGACTGTACAATGACAGAGAAGAGAATTCTGGCATTAGCACGGAAACATCCATACCTAACACAACTGTACTGCTGCTTCCAGACAAAGGTAAGCTACATGAACCTTTCACCAATTTGTGCCCAAGGAACAAAATTCACTATTTCCAGAATAAAAGACAGCAATGTGAAAAGTACAGCAATATTTCAAAAATATTTCTGAGAAATTTTTGGCATTTCAGTAGTACTGAACAGGAGTACTGGCTGCTGTTAAATAGTGTAAATACTATTACCTGATAAGTACCAGGAGATGGCAGTAAATGAGTTAAAATTTTTTTAAAACCCGCATGCATAAAACAATAAAAAAACTACTGAGGTGCCATTTTCTGGGTTTCTTCTGTACATTAATATGGTGTATCGTCTGTTGAATTAAGTACAAATGTTTTCAACATCCAGTATGCAGAGTAAAAATTCTAAAATGATCTGGTCAGAAATGAGATTATGACAGAACACTCATCTTTTCAGTTTTCTTGTGCTGTACAGTATACAAAATGTTCAAAAGAGAAAGGCAATAGGTATACTGTGTAGCATGTGTAAATTCATATAGCGCTAATGCCTCCCATGTGCTTGAGGAGGAGAGAGAAGGAAAGGCAGAGAGAGCTCATAACGAGAGACTGTTCTTGTGGCGTGTTACTTGTTGCTAATTTTTCATACAGAATTCCTCTTCACAGCATATGTTCTGGATTTGCTGCTTAAATGTAAGTGAATGTTTGGATGGTTTAGCTAACTCTCTAGGATTTCTGAATCCAATCAGTCTAAGTGCTTGAAACCAGTTGTGTTCACGGAATATTTCTGGGTTTCATTTTTTGATCCCTTATATCTCTCTTGTCCTTCAGCTGAGCTGATAGTTTTTTACCTGACTGTCCAGAAAGCTTTATGGGCAAAAAAAAACCCACAAGGTGAATCCGTCTTGCAGATAGAATACCAGTCATGTATCATCGAAGTTACAGAAGCGAGTAAGTTAAGACGTTAATATATATGCAGGTTTTAAATAAAATACTTGAGAATCGATCAACTTCCGTCAAACTTCTGTGGTTTTTTTCTTTCAGTAAGACAGTCGAGTATTTGAGTCAATTTAATGGAGAAGTTTGGCAGATTAAATGAATAACTGATTTAGCATATTGAACGAAATTAGGAGTTACTAGTGGTGTGTATGACTTCAGGTGTCTGCATGTGTAAATACATACATATTCACATATTATAACCAAAACCATGTATGTCACAAATGAGCAATTGCAATAATTATATGTGTAGAATTAAAGAAAAGCTGTGACTGGAAGATCTTCCAGCAAAGTTGTTAGGAAAGATAAATAGAGCTGTGGGAAAGCCATAGGAAGATGGCTAGTAGGATCAAGATTATAGTGTGTTCAAATATGCAAATAGCGAATGTTTAATATGTTGATATAGTTCTTAAAACAGTGAAAATGCATTAGCGTTTTATATGCTTTGAAGTTGACACAAAATAATAGCCCAGGGAGGTGTGTATACAGTTTATGTCTACGGAGGATGTTTCATGCGTTCAGACTTCCATTTCATTTGAATTTATGTGTGAACATACTCTTTAAATGTTTGAATATATTATTGTAAAATCTGTAACTACAATTAGGCATATTATTTCAGATGAAGAAAGTGATAAAAAGACTGTACTAGGGTGAGGGATAAACATTGTGAACAGAGAGGGACCTGCAGGACTAAGGTAGACCACGCTCCCTGAAGTGTAAATAAGCGTATCGCCAGCCAGATGTGAATCATGTGGCAGAACATTGATAAAGATCAGCTTTGCATTAAGGGAATTATGGCAGAAGGTTCTCCTGCTACTTCTCTGGTTTCCTGAAGATGTAATTTCTTTTGTATTTTTCATCTGTTCTCCAATCTTTTGTATCATGCTTTCTGACTTCCTCCCTGCTCTCCAAAGCCATTCATCAAAGTAAGATATTCAGAAATTCTTGTCACTATCTTCTCTCTTCCCACATCTCTTCACCAGAGAGAAACTACCATTTGTGGCTTTGCTTGAGCTCAGGGGAACAGATAGGTATATAATTTACAGTTACAAGTCATAAGCTAGTGACTCCTATCAAACTACCAAAACTATACCTAGTGCTACCCAGCCAAATTAAAAGTCCACAGTTGAAAAACTGAAGGGTTTTTCTGAGCATGACCGATGAACAATTTGCAAAGAACTCTTTCTAAAGAAGCAAAACGGCAAAACATATGTAAAAGCAAAAGCAATACAACTGCTAAAGCTGTAAGTTATTTATGAATGACAGCAAATGAAAATGTACAGAGTAAATTAGGTACTGAATGATTTACTCAGGTTCAATGGAAAAACAGGTAGAAAAACTTGCTTGAACAAACATGGTCTGTGATTAAAATAGCTCTGCTGAGACAAAGGCTATTGTATAATAGATTTTAAAATGTTTTTAACAGTAGTGCCTAGTTACTTCTGCTGCAATTGCGTGCTGAGCCATGGCTGCTGTGCTTTGCAGAACTAGTCCCCGAAGTGATCATGCTGGAATTAAATTTTACATTTTAAGTAGAGCATATTTGTTGTATACACCCTGAACTAATGGGCAGATTGACTCAGTATTCGTTGTCAAAGCACTCAGAGGTTGACTTTGTGTAATGAGATTACTTGCTTTGTTCCTCTTCCACAAAAATGTGAATGTATGAGTTTGACTGTGTATTGCAGTGTTTTCCTTCAGTCATGAGGTGAAGACACTGCAGAAAAGTTGCCTAATATGCTTTTTATAGTAAGTATGCTTCAGTATTATTTGTTTTTTACATGGAGCAGACTTTTCATTAGTATAATTTACTAAATGATATTATTATTATCAAAACAAGTAAAGGATCATATTTAAAGTTATCTTGAAATTCAGAAATCATGCCAAATAATGGCTAATAACAGCACACCTTAGACACTAATGTGGTTTTAGCCCTACATATGTGAATTCACTTTTAGCGGTCCCATCTAGCTTCCTTATTTCAAAGGACTATTCTTGGGACTGGTATTTCTCATGTTCCTTCTTAATCCAAAAGCTAGCTTTGATCAAACTGGTTTGCTTTAAGCTCATCAAAAAATGATCCCCCTGAAAAATCAATATTCTATATTAGAATTACATATATGTACAGATATTGAACTTCAGGGATTGCTTTGCGATCTTCTGCAGTGACCTGGAAGTCATGGAAGTGGAGTTCTGTTCCAAAGCTTGGGATAAAGTGTGTGAAGCTGATGTATGATGTTTTGTCTGTGAAAGTTTGAGGTGTGAACTCATCAACCCAGTCCTACACATTAGAAAGAATGTAAAATCTACTGGCAGGACCTCAGCTGATGCACATTTTTACGTGGAAGGAGCTCACAAGGGTTTAGTATAGCATATCTTATAAAGCCATGTCACAGCTGGATAGTATTTTTCAACACTGCTATACTACGGTAGCATTTCCCTTCTCCTTTTGCCAGAATATGGGCAATGAATCTATCAATGTATTCAGAGGTTTGATTTCTATTTTGCTTGTGGTCATCAGCTGGGATCACAGAATCACAGAATCACAGAATGGTAGGGGTTGGAAGGGACCTCAGTGGGTCATCTAGTCCAACCCTCCTGCGGAAGCAGGGTCACCTGCAGTAGGTTGTAGAGGACCTTGTCCAGGCGGGATATAAATGAAGAATACTGCATTCTGTATTTGGCACTCCCATAGCAAAACTTGCACAAGTCGTAGCATACAGAGTACAGCATTTTTGTAATAACTGACCTTTGCTTATCATCATCTTTGATTTATTCAGGACTTCGTTGTGTCCTTTATTGAGAAAACGTTGGGTTTTTTTCAGGGGTACTACTGTTTGCTTTCTTTTCTCACTCTTCCTCCTGCCTTCTCTTTCTCTTCTTCTGTGTGCTGATTCCTTGTGTTTTCAGTAAGGAGTATCTGCCCATAATGCTGGTGCTACCCAGTTCGCCTCTCCAGTGTCGTCCTCCCTCCAACCTCATACTATGCTTCAGTGATCAACCATGGAACAGTATCAACATCAGGTTTTATTGATATTGCTTTGGTCAGGTGGCTGGCAAAGGGGATTTAAGTATTTCTAGAGCTATTTTCTCTGCAGACATTTTTGCACTTGTGATACTTCATTCACAGCTGGAAGTTTCAGAACTGTGAAAATTATAAGTCTTTTTTAATGGAAAGTTGAGATTCTACAAAAGAAAGGTATAGCTAACTTCACTTTATTCCTCCTACACCCCTGTCAACCTTCTTCGTAGTACTTTTCTAGACCTCTACAATATGAGATGCGTACACATATATGTGTACACCCTATAATTTATAATGAATTATCCTAATAAATACTTTAGAATTAAAATGCTTTTAAAACTATTTAAGACGGTGAAACCTTTATTACAATAATTCATTATAAATTTGGAAGACCAGAGAGCTACTGCTTTTAACATCTACCGTTTGCTTTTTTATCCACCTTCATGAAATCCGATAAATTTGAAGCTAGTATTCTCCTGCTCTCTCCAGAGTATTGTATTCAGCAAAATTGCTTTGCACACTGACATGGTAGAGAGTACTGTCAGTACAGAGCAGTGTTCCTGTTGAATGATAGAGTTGCATGACTAGTAAATGACCCTTAGTCACCATTATAGCTATTTCTATTGGAGAACACAAATAATTAAATAAAGGAAAGAGAAAGTCAGTTACTACAGGTAAATAGGCAGACTTATCCCACCCACAAAAACATAAAAATGATTGTCTGCATGTTAAAAGCGGCGTATCTCTTCATAGTGTAGCTCCGGAGCTGACCTGCAAGGCCGTTCACTTCTTTCCTGTGTAAGGAAGGTAAGGTTCACTTCTTTCCTGTGTAAGGAAGGTAGAGATTAGCCACATGACAGTGGCAGAACTGAAGGACATCTAGGAGTAGGCTGTAGTGACCCTATTATGGCTATGTTGATCCCTTAACTGTTGTGTTCTACCTAGTGGCTTACTGCTGGTTTATCCTAGATTGTGAGTACTGTGCTTCAGGTACTATTCCGTTCTGCACATTTGCACTGGATCTAGCAC